AAGTTTGACTCTCTTGTTGAAAACCTTGTTTTCAGGGTCTAACCCCCCATTTTTAGGATCTAAATCCCTCTTTTAGAGCTAAACCCCTCATTTTTTTAGGTCCCAAAGCCTCAGTTTTAGGTCTCAAATCCTCATTTTTGAAGCCGAAAGCTTTGATTGTCTTACTGAAAACCTTGGTTTTAGGGTCTAAACCCTCATTTTTAGGGTCTAAACCTCACTTTTAGATCTAAACCCCTTATTTTTAGGTCCCAAAACTTCATTTTTGGGTCTAAACTCCACTTTTAGAGCTAAACCCCTTATTTTTAGGTCTCAAAGCCTCATTTTTAGGTCCCAAATCCCCATTTTCGGAGTTCAAAGCTTTGATTTTGTAATTGAAAACCTCATTATTAGGGTCAACCCCCTACTTTTAGGGTCTATACCCCTTCTTTCATATCCCAAAGCCTCATTTTTAGGGTCTAAACTCCAGTTTTAGGGCTAAACCCCTTATTTTTTGGTCCCAAATGCTCATTTCTGGAGTCCAAAGCTTTGATTCTGTGGTTGAAAACCTCCTTTTTAGGGTACAAACCTTCATTTTTAAGCCTTAAGCCCCCTTTTTGAGGCCCAAAAGCACCACTTGGAGGCCCAAAGTCTTGGTTTGGAAGGTCCAAAAGCTGCAGATTTAGAGGCCAAACCTTTATTTCTGGAACCAAATGCTCGGTTTTTTGGCCCAAAGCCTCATTTTTAGCTCCCAGAGTCCCGTTTTGGGGACCAAAGCCTCCTTTGGAGCCTCCAAAAATCCATTTTTTAGGCTGCAAAGGGTGAAGTTTTTGGTCCCAAAGCACCATTGGAGGGAGGTGTCACTACCCCCAGTGGGACAGGCAGGGCTTGTCCCCGTTATTCCCTGAAATCAACCCAAAATTCCCGATATTTAGGCTGGGAATGGCTCGGATTTGGGGGCATGAGGGGTCTGGCACCTCCTGCTCTGGGGACATGAAGGTGGCACAAAATTGGCACTTCAGGGCTGGGATAAAATCCAGGAAAATGAGATTTATAACCCCCTGGGAGGGCTGGGAAAGGCGGGATGGAAACAGGGAGGGAGGGTCAGAGCCTGGAGCCTGGAAAACTTCGGGGGAAACAACGGCCAGGGACACATGGAAAACATTCCAGGGCAAGGGAAGGGGGGGAAGGGGAGAGAAATCCCATCATTCCCAGCTCAGGGATGCTCCTGGCACCAGGCTGGGAATGATCCCTGTGTCCAGGGATGGATCCCTGCAATCCATGGGGATGGGAATGATCCCTGTGTCCAGGGAGGGGTCTGATCCCTGTGTCCAGGGATAGATCCCTGCCATCCATAGGGATGGGGATGATCCCTGTGTCCAGGGAGGGGTCTGATCCCTGTGTCCAGGGATAGATCCCTGCCATCCATAGGGATGGGGATGATCCCTGTGTCCAGGGATAGATCCCTGCCATCCATAGGGATGGGGATGATCCCTGTGTCCAGGGGAGGGGTCCCTGCAATCCACAGGGATGGCAAAGATCCCTGTGTCCACGGATGGGTCCAATCCCTGTGTCCGTGGATGGATCCCTGTCATCCAAGAGGATGGGAATGATCCCTGTGTCCAGGGATGGATCCCTTCAATCCATGGGAATGGGGATGGGAATGATCTGATCCCCCCTCCGAACATCCTGATCCCTTCAACTCATCCAGGCTGGATTTTGATCCCTGTTTTCCCCCTGGATCCATGGCAGGGGGAGCTCCCAGCGGGATGCAGGGGGTGCCATCCCTGTCGGGACCATCCCCGGGGTCCCTGGGTGCCGGACCCTTCTCCGGGATTGCGGATCCATGGGATCAGCCCCAGCTGGACAATGCTGGGGAACCCCAGGCTGGTGCTGCTCCCTCCTCCAGGAGCAGCCCCTTCCCTCT